TGACCGTCACACATTTTTAACAGGTCATGGGCACATGTCTGGCAAACGGAAATCTTTATTGGCTAAAAATGTAACGACTGTTGTTGAATATATTTGAAACAACAGTTCCGTTTTGAAGATTTTACGCTTTCGGTAATTTAAATTTATGGTTAGTTGATCTGGAATTGGAATGAAAGCAACGATGACACATTACCTGATTCAGTCATAACATAAATAAGAGTTTCTTTTTGAAAGCCTACTCTACTAAACTAAAAGGGAATTTACATAACAAAACGATACAGAACAAAATTAAAAATACGACAGGTTGAAATTTTATGAAATATTCATTCTATAAAATAGGTTAAAAAAATAACAAAAGTTTGGCTGTAGAAAATGGTAAACCTTTTGTTAACAACAGAGTCGAAGAATCTACACTTGTAAACAAAGAAAAATAGGCAAAGATGACTGAACGTGTCAGCAAAAGGACGTAGCGTCAAAAGGACGGCTTTTCCCATGACACCGCTCTTTTAACTACCTTCACTCCTCGACAATGTTTATTGTTTTAAAAAGCAATGATTAGAATTGAAATAAAACACAAATATATGAAAGTGAATTTATACATTTTCTTTGTTCTTGAGAATTGACAACAAAAATAATAAACACTATTTATTAGATTGTTTATTTACAGTATTTATTACCGTAATTCTCCATGTATAATACGCCTTCATCCATAATATGAACCCCTAAAATTGTGCTGAAAGTGCGGGGAAAATGCTTCTACTCAAACATAATACGCACCCCTTGTTGGTAATCAAACCCTAAAAATTGTATCTTTCCATTTTCATGACGGCCAGCATTTCATATTCTTATTTAAAAATGGTTTTAAACATAGAATAATATTATTCTAATTTAGTTTTATGATAATTCTTATTTTATTTTACGGCAATTTTTTAAAGATTTTTTGTAGCTGTGCATAAAACGCACCCCTGATTTTGCTTATTATTTTTTAGAAAAAAAATGCGTATTATACATTGGGAATTACGGTATATTATTTATTTGAATGGTTGGCCAAACACCGGCTAATTGCCAATCGATTCGAACTTTATAAAATGGTAAATAATAAGGATTTCCTTGTAAGTGGTTCACATATTTTAATAGTTTAATAAATATTTATAAATTAATGAATAAAAAAATTGTTTTCATCTTTATTTCTTTATAATTTGGTAACATGATAAATATTGTATTGCATTAGTCCTAAATCATTGCTTTTTAAAATAAGAAACATTGCCGAAGAGTGAAGGTAGTTAGCGGAGAAAAAAGTCCTTTCAACAATCTTATACAGGGCACGTTTATCCATGTTTGCCGAACAAAACTACTTACTGACCAGTTAGAATGGAGCGCTTCCCGTTAAGAATGTGACCCAACGCATAGACGGGAAAAAGAAGAGAGTTTTTTTTTGAAAGCATAAGATTTTAAAGGCGCCATTCAGTTGTTAAGTTCCGATGAGCTGTTTTCGTTGGTTCCAAGACTTCGCGAATTCAAGCGTCCTACGAGGCTGGCATTCCTCTCTCATCCTTTCACTGTTGAAACGGTTAAATGTAGTCGCCTCTTCTACTCCAATAGCTTCATGTCTCGCACCTCTCGCCTGTGGAACTCCCATCCCTTTTTCTGTTTCCCTGACAGCTATAATCTCCAACTATTCAAATGTAATGTCAATCGACATCACCAGTTGCCTTGATCTATCCACTATCCTTCTCCTCATTCTTTCCTCTATCATACCTATCTGCTCTGGCTCCAAATCTTCTGCAACTCCTTGCGTGTTAGTGGCTTCCCGCCTTTCTAGGGTGAATGCTTACTATATATATATATATATATATATATATATATATATATATATATATATATATATAATATAAAAAATCCTAACGGCCAGTTCACATTGATGATACCATGTGGGTAGTATCTGGCTCATTAGGATTTATTTATTTTTTGCTTCACTTAGCGTATTGATCACTCTTCGTTTTTAGTTATTACTCGCTGTTTTTATTTTCTTTGTACCAGAAATTTAAGGTACTGGACCATTTCTTTCGCCCTGTTTGAAGGTTTCTGGTTCTTTACTTTTTTTTTTGTTTTTCCAAATTTGTTCCTCGGATGCCAATTTGTTTGGAAATTGTGCTATCCAGGTTTTTTTTTTACCCACCGAGTTTAAAAAACTTACAATATTAGAGATAGAGCTAACATATTTGGTTGATAGAAATTTGATTTTTTTTTAAATGAGTTTAAAAAGACTATATTAGAGATAGAGCTATATATATATATATATATATATATATATATATATATATATATATATATATATATATATATATATATATATATATATATATATATATATATATATATCAGCGGTATGACGCTTGCGTTGTAATGTGACGAGCCCGGTTCGATTCTCGGTAGCGGATCCGCACTGCTGATGAGTCCTAAATGGGACGTAACGACCGTCCAGTACTTTCTGCATTCT